TATATACGAAGAGGGACTCGTCTTGAGATCGAAACCCTGGATAAGAGCTTGTGTTATGGTTCGACTTACATATATAATATGATTTTGATAATTGAAATTTGTTTAGCTAATGTATTGTGAGTAGACATGGTCATGGGTCACCCGGCCCGTCGACCAAGTCCGGAACTGCACGAACCTGGCCCGGTCCAATCCCTTGACCACGGGTCGGGGCTCGTGCCCGGATTTACACCGGGCCGGTTCAGCGTCATATCAACGGTCAAATTTTTTTCTTTTTTTTTTTTGGATGGGTCTAATTCCGGGTTGGAACCCGGATCGTCGGGTCCACTAACCAGGCTTGGCCCGGTCCGAAATTTGGCTATGTCTAATTGTGATGTGTAGTATTTTGGTGTTTGTCTAACCATCTTGACATTTCAAAGTCATCAAGGAAACTAGTTCTAATTTGTAAATGAAGAATCTGAAGTCTGGTACAACAAGAACATAATTGAGGCCGAGTGGCTGATGAGCTCGTGACTAGCCTTTCCAGTAGTAAGAACTGTCTAATTGGAATATTTCTCGGATTCATGTTATCCTTGGACAGGATTTTGAAAAAGCATGTATGCATTAAATTCATTTATGGTATTTTCTTAATAAATATTAGGGCATCTACATCCCTTAACACAAAAATTATTCATTCAATAAAAAAAGTAATACTCTCTCATCCACATTATTTACACATCATCTTTCCACTAAATCTCTCTCCATTTAAACACACACCCACATTCCTACACATTCATTTAAATACATATGTGGGACCTATTATCTACTCATTTAATATAAAAAAGAATAATAAAATGAATAATCAATTAAGTTAAAAAAAAAAAAAGTAAAGAATGCTGAACGCGTTGAGGGCCCCGCAGATTAATGAATGGCCACATCCCTCTGAATGCGCAAGTTTCATTTAAACCCCCAAAATTAATAGTGCAATATGGGTGCCCTTAGTCAAGAACATATTTTATAACACACACAGACAGCAAACTCCAAGAACATTCGTACATCCCACGATAAGTAAATTTTCCATTATCAAACACCACGAGGAACTTCTGTATGTACATTAACCAGAATCTCCAAGTAATACCACATACTATATAATCACAAAACCTCCACATATACACAATCTACTATACCTCAATCTAAGAAAACCCAATATACACAGAACATGACTGAAAAAAACACATCACACGCACACACACACACACTCAATTCTCCTCGAGCACATACACACCATTCACACGAGTCTCCACGTCCCACAAAAACGATCCAAAAGCAACAGCTTCCAACAAAAATCTCTTGACACTAGCAAACGATGTCTTAATAACATCCGCCTCCTCATCACCACCAAACAGGGCACGACTATGTCTCCCCACAAGGCTTACCGACTCCTTAAACCTCGGACTCGCACACATCCCAATCATTTCCAGATCAAATCCCATCATATAAATCCTCAAATTCCCCACATTCTTACCCAAATCGCATGACAATCGGCCACCAGATGAAAATCCCATGTTAATGTGGCCATATGCAATCTTCTGCTTGGAACCAATGGAGAACATCTCCGAATCCTGTTCAAGATAGTGCCTGAAAGCATCGGACTTCAAAAGGTATCCGTAGAAAATGGAGGACGAGTACAACTTGCAGAGATGGGACCTATGTACCTCAGCTGTCGCCCAACTGGCAGTGACATTAGCATCTGCTCGGTGCCCAACGGCAGCCGTTATGTGGTCTCGCACCATTTGCAGAACCTCACAGCTGTGGATGGACTCGAGTTCCCAGTCCTTTGAGGGCCATATCTCCAAACGGCCATTGTAGAGGCATTCGGATAGCTTGGGAACCAAATGAACACTTATTTCGGAAAATTTGTGGAGGATGAGTGTGTAGATTACGTCCTCGACTGCTTCCTGGCACTCATGATTCTTGCACTCAGCAATCCTCCTGCACTTTGTTTAATACGGGTTCTTAAGCCAAAAGTATGAAAAGTCGAGAAATCTTCGTATAAATTAACTAAACATTACCACGGATTTTTTCTTGGTTGGCCTAGAAGTTAGTTATTTCAACTTTCAAGAAGTGGTCATTTAAGGAAGGAAATCTTATGTCTCTGCTCCCTCGATACGAGTTGAGACTTGAGTACTTCCCAATTTGAGGCAATAAATGCCCAATTTAATCGCACAATCATCTTGTGGACACCATAATGCATGGGGGGAAAATATTTCTTGGTGGGCCCACAGAAACGAACGGGTGGAAGTACTAGTACACCACCTTCCCTCCAGCAATTTCTGTTCTTGAGGAACTGATGCACTAGTACACCACTTCGGCCAGTGTTGTACGTTAAGGAATTATGCACTTACCCTATAATGGGCCATCCAGTTTGTAAAATGAAATACATAGCAAAAAGATTTCCAGAGGTGCAGAATAAATGTCAAGAAGCAACAAATAATGAGCAGGTATGACATAACACAAAATTGACCTTTAGTAAATTTTATTTTAGCTTATTACAAAGAGGCGTATCATAATAGAACTATCTAATTTTTGTCACTTCATTATGATTGATGCTCATCTAGAATGGCTTGGTAATTAAGGGTATTAGAATCCTACCTCAATTTATTGCTTAAACTGTCTACCACTCGAGAAAGACCGTTCGGTGTACTTGAGCATTTATGCCCTTGATTTCTAATGCTTAAAATCTATTCATTATTCCACAAAAGCAAAACTATGTACTCATGTTGAACTGGACAAGGGAAATGCGAATAGCAGCATATCACTCGCAAAACAAGCTAACAAAAATTTCAGCCCCTGTAATCAAGATACAATTGATGCAAACCAAAAACAAACATAAGAAAAGTAAAGGTTATCTTCACAGTTTTTCCCCCTTTTCACTATTGTTTCCATCGAAAATCAAAAGCCCCTTAATACAAATTTAGGAGAATGCTACCATCCCGTTATGGGATGGTTCCGTTGTGTTTTCTAGCCATAGATATACATGTAATCTAGTGATGGATAGTTAATCCAATGGTTAAAAACACAACGGAACCATCCCGTAACGGGATGGTAGTATTCCCCACAAATTTATGCTTTGAAAGTTAATTTGTATTTCTCTCTTCCACTGACTTCTTCTGTTTCTGCAAATAAAATTTGTAATACAAAATATATACACCCTACACATATAAATACGGAAGTAATTGATTGCTTTAAACCTTTTAACTAATTTCATGTACGTTATTCATCTATAATTCAGTATAAAATTGGAGCGGCCAGCTAACTACAAAAATTCCAAGCATTCCTTTCCAAGTATACAAGTAAATCTTTAACTCGTAACACGGTAAATGAATTAGCAAAATAAGAACGGGAAAAAAAGGGAATAGCCCACTAGCAACCGACCTGTGCAGGCAAGCTTCGTCCGAACCAATGCTGAGCTGCAACCGAGCCGCAGCTTCATCCCGTTCAGCCGCAAGCCGCTGTAACTCCTTCCTGGCCGCAGCCTGAAATCCATCGCGACCATCCAACAACATGCCGCTCAGGAACCTCCCGGCCGGCGTTCTCGGCTCGAGAGGCGCTGCCAAGCCTCCAAACTGACACCTGCTAGATGCTACAATCGGCAACGGCCTCCGATCGAAGCGATTCTGGAAAGCGATTGGGCGGCGGATATATCCGGCGGGCAAGGTTGGGAATTCGGGTTTGAAGTAGGAAAAGCAGAAGTCCATTAAACAAATTCGGTTCGCCTCAACTGAATGATTGGTCAGACTGATAATGGATAAGGGTTTGGGGGTGAGATGACAAGTGACCAGTGGTTGACTGACAACAACTTCAAGACTTTTGCCTATTCCTGCGTGTAGTGTAGTGTGGTGTCGTGTATAGAAAGGGGAGAAGAAGTATCATGATTCATGGGGGGTCTAAAGAGATAAATAGGTACTAAAAGTATGCGTGTAAAGAGAAAAGAACAAAGAGGATAAGGTAGAGAGATGTTTAAGTGGCCGTAGCAATTATGGGAGGCGATAAGTGGGGCTGCTATTCATTTTATAATTGCATTTGCACAAATATAAAATACGTTACGTTTTTGTTTGTATTTATTGATGATACATTTATTTCTACCATATAAAAATTATTACTTTTTCTTAAATTATTTTTTTTATTCAAAATTGATTAAGATTTAAATTTTATTTTAACCATGTAACATTTACATTAGTAAGATGAATAAAATAATTTATATATTTGCGGCATATATTAAGAAAATTAACATAAATAAAAAGAAATTATTGGTGTTTCTGATTTTTTTTTTAAAAAAATATGTGCTAATCATATTTTTCTTCCAACAATGCAACCAAATATAGCGGTTACAGCTATGAATATGTCAATCAACTTTAAGTTCCAATATTAGCCGTTACACATTTGAATATTTTGCTACCAAATTTAGAATTAATTTACTAACTGATCTGATATAGTCATGAGAAGCGGTTCCTGGAGGACCGGTCGTGGTTCGAATTTAGTTACAGTTATATTTGGTGGGCGCTAGGTCAAGACCAGCTCAAGGTGAGCTAGACGGAGGCGATCGCCTAGGCAACCAGGCACCTCGGCAGCTAGGCACCTCGGCACCCAGGCGGCTAGGCACCTCGGCACCTAGGAAGCTAGGCACCTCGGCACCTAGGCAGCCAGGCACCTAGGTAGATAGGCACCTCGGCACCTAGGCAGCTAGGCCAGAGGGTTCGGCCGAGGTAACCAGAGCCCAACGGTGGCTTCGTGGCCAAGTCACAAGGAAGTTTGTAGTGATAAAGACTCTGAAGTTCTGGACATCTTTGACCTAATTTAGAGATAAATACGAGGAAGACTTCTAGATCGACCAGAACTCTTTGGCTTGTACATGACCTTACCTATAAAAGGGCACATGTTCATTCATTTCACACAACACACATACACATATTATCTCGTTACTCTGCTGTTTTCTCCGCAAAACACCATCACTGACTTGAGCGTCGGAGTATCCGCGCTGGGACCACCCCTGGCGTGTTTTGCAGGTACCGACGATCAAGGAGGTTCAACCCAGTTTGAGAGGAGCGGTCGAGCGGTTCAGGTATTTGTGGTACAACAAATTGGCGCCGTCTGTGGGGAAACTCAGTCTTCTACCAGAGTATCATAGGCTGTTTTTTCTCACCAAAGAAGAAGAAGTGCAACAGGGATCATGGCAGGAGATAACTTGAAGAAAAACTTGACGAAGGATATGAATGAGGCGTGGACGAAGAGGGTTCTTGGAACAGGGCCGCCGCCTGGGTGGTCGCCGTCGCCTACTACCCCGAAGGAGACGTTGACCCCGACACCGCCACCAGGAGCTCAAGGGCGTTTGGAGAACCCAGAAGAATCGGGTGGCTTGACCAACAAGGAGAAGGAGATCGGTGGTGCAACAAATGGAGGAATTGGTAAGGTCGGCCAGGTCCCTGATGGGAACACAGGTCAGGTGACCTCGCTGAACAATCAACAAATGGTCTTAGCAGGAGGAACCAATCCCCTGGGCAACTCCTCGACGGCAAGGGGAGATCAAACGATACATATGACGAGGGCGGAACTGGACAGGATCATAGCGGATGCAATAGGGCGGGCTCAAGAGGTTGATCGGCGAGTTAATGAATCACTAAGGCAGCCCGTGCATCAGCAGTTGTCCTTGCACCCTCACCAGATGCACCAACGCGAAAGGGGGGATGAGGATGGCGATAGGTCGGCGACATCTTGACCCTTGGTAGCACAGCAGGAGGGGTTGACTCTGAAGCGACTAGCGGAACAAATGCGTGAGATGCAAGCTCGACTCCCCGGGAAAAAGGTAGGCAGGTCGCATGGTCATCCTTTTTCGGAAGAGGTGCGAGGTGTAGACTTGCCAAATAACTTTTGAGAGCTGAGCCTATCATATGATGGGTCGGCGGATCCTGCTAGACACTTGAGGTCATTCGATAACATAGCGGTCTTGCACCGATACAACGATGCGGTTAGTTGTCGGGCTTTTTTAACTACCTTGAGGGGCTCAGCACAAGACTGGTTCCACCAGTTGCCACCCGGTTCTATTGAAAGCTTTGAGAGGTTCAGTTCTCTGTTCTTAAACCAGTTCGCGAGCGCTAGGAAGCATGAGAAGACGTATCTCTCACTAATCAACATGCAACAGAGGGAGGGGGAGAGTCTGCGACAGTACGTTTCAAGGTACACTAAGGAGTGTGTGGAGGTACCTTCTGCTACTGAGGAGATAAAAGTTGGGGGTCTCACACGGGGGTTGAGGCCCGGTAAATGCAGGGATTCATTGGCAAAAAGGCCTGCGAGGTCCTTTGACGAGCTCCTCGAGAGGTGTAGCAAGTATGTGAATATGGAGGAGGCTGAAGCGGATTTCATTCTGAATGACAAAATAAAGGCTAAGCAGGTAGACGAGAAGCCTCGGCAAAGTGATCGCTGAACTGTTGCTAAGGAGTCCAAGGTTGAGGAGCGGTTCAGGGGTCCAAGGTACGAGCATTACAAACCACTTAATGCGCCACAACAGGAGATCCTGGAGATGATGGAAAAGCGGGGAGAAGACCAATTGCTCGCACAACCCAAGCCTCTGGCCCCACCGCGAGAGTTTTCAGCCGGAAAGGATAGATAATGTCAGTACCACCGTGGTTATGTCCACTTTACCAATTTCTGTCGGGAGTTGAAAGACGAAATTGAGCGGCTCATTCGGGCCGGCCACTTAAAGGAGTTCGTGATCAAGGATAAGGAGCGCCAGGAAGATCGCCGCGATGGACATGAGCTGGGTGACAAACGAAGGAGGGCTGATGAGCAACATGATAGGCCAATTAAGAAAGGCGTCATACATGTGATTGCGGGGGGTCCTACAGATGGAGATTCGCATATGGAGAGGAAGAGGACTTACCGAGGAAAGGGTGCTGCTAACGAAGTGGCCGAGATACAGGCGCACAAGAGCTCGGCTACTCTACTGTTTGGAGCTGATGATGTGCAGGGACTTGTTGTCCCACATAACGATGCCTTGGTTATCACTGCAGAGGTGGCCAGCTATGATGTGCAGAGGGTGCTTATAGATACGGGAAGCTTGGCGGACATCATTTTCCTAAAGTCTTTGCAGAAGATGGAGTTGGACGTGAAGGTCGAGCCGGTCCACACTGCTCTCTATGGCTTTAGCGGCAGTGAGGTTCGCCCCGTTGGCGAAGTTAGCTTAACTGTAGCGTTGGGAAGGTCGCCTCTGAGGAGGGTGAAGATGGTCCGTTTCTTGGTTGTAGATGCTAGCTCGGCCTACAACATCATACTGGGGCGGCCTAGCTTGAATTCATTCCAGACAGCCATTTTCACTTATTGCGTGAAAATTAAGTTCCCCGTAGGGGATGAGGTCGGAGAGGTGACTGGAGACCAGCTGCAGTCTCGACGGTGTTATGAGGTCACATTGAAGACAGCTGAGGCGTAGAATAAGAGACGGAGGGATGACTTACCTGAGTGCTCCCACCAGGAGAAGAAACAAGAATTGGGGATGAGCTCCCAGGATGAGTTGATGGAAGTTGAATTGATAGAGGGGAGCCCTGCAAAGACGACCAAGGTAGGTCGGCATCTGGCGGTCGACATTCAAGGCGCGCTGATTGCATTGTTGAGAGAATTTGTGGATGTGTTTGCTTTTTTGGCCGACGACCTCAGCGACATCAGTCCCAGGGTGGCAGAGCACAGGTTGAACATCGACCCAACCATGAGGTCGGTGAAGCAGAAGAGGAGACATTTTGGCGCTGAGTTAGATGTGGTCATTGAAGCTGAGGTGGGGAAGCTGGAGCCCAATTGGGAGGGACCCTATACTGTTGAAAGGGTATTCGCTGGAGGTGCCTACGAGCTTCGTGATGCGGAGGGGGAGGCTGCTGCCGCGACCCTGGAACATATCCCATTTGAAAAAATATTATGCCTAGCTTAAGAAGTGTTATTTACGTTTGTTCGCATTTGCTTTCATTTGCTTTGTTCTTTCAACAAGAACAATAATGAGATTGTTTTTGAAGTTTTATCAGCTCTATTCTTCTCTTGTATGGAATGTGTTAGGGCAAAAGCCTGTCAGTCTCTCCTACGCTCGCAGAGCTAGGCGACGACCTTCGTAGGGCGAAAGCCTGTTAGTCTCTTCTATGCTCGCGGAGCTAGGCGAAGACCTTCATAGGGCAAAAGCCTGTCAGTCTCACCTAAGCTTTCGAAGCTAGGCGCGACCTCTATAGGGCGAAAGCCTGTTAGTCTCTCCTACTCTTGCGGAGCTAGGCGACGACCTTCGTAGGGCGAAAGCCTGTTAGTCTCTCATATGCTCGCGGAGCTAGGCGACGACCTTCATAGGGTGAAAGCCTGTCAGTCTCACCTAAGCTCGCGGAGCTAGGCGACGACCTCTATAGGGCGAAAGCCTGTCAGTCTCTCCTACGCTCGCGGAGCTAGGCGACGACCTTCGTAGGGCGAAAGCCTGTTAGTCTCACCTAAGCTCGCGGAGCTAGGCGACGACCTATATAGGCGAAAGCCTGTCAGTCTTTCCTACGCTCACGGAGCTAGGCGACGACCTTCGTAGCGCAAAAGCCTGTTAGTCTCACCTACGCTCGCGGAGCTAGGCGACGACCTTCGTAGGGCGAAAGCCTGTCAGTCTCTCCTACGCTCACGGAGCTAGGCTACGACCTTCGTAGGGTGAAAGCCTGTTAGTCTCACCTAAGCTCGCGGAGCTAGGCGACGACCTTCGTAGGGCGAAAGCCTATTAGTCTCACCTAAGCTCGCGGAGCTAGGCGATGACCTTCGTAGGGCGAAAGCCTGTCAGTCTCACCTAAGCTCGCGGAGCTAGGCGACGACCTTTGTAGAGCGAAAGTGTGTAAGTCTCTCTAACGCTCGCGGAGCTAGGCGAGTCTTAAGAGACTTAGCAATAATTGTGCTAGGTGCAAAAGCCCATTGTCACGATGCTAAGTATTTTATAGACTTGGTGAATGAAGCTCGTCCCGAAAGGAGAGATATGGATGCT